CAGACTGGTGTTCAGAAGCTCTTTTAAAGTAGTAAGATTATTAGGGTTCTTTAAAGGATCACAAATATAAGACAACCAATTGTCTACTTGACTGTTCTCTATAATTCTAGTTCCTCCTGCAATTAAGAGACAACTTAATACTGTATATAAAAAAAAATTATAACAACAATGAATTATAATATGATCAATTACCGTATAAACTGTCGTCGAAAGTCCTAGCTAAATAACGTCCTATATTGCAGTCATCATCAGAGACAATTTGACCGTTGACCAACAATTGAACCGTTGACCCGCAATTTTGCAAAAATAGATTTAATGAAAAAAAAAAATTATGGCTTTAATGAAAAATAAATACTTACCGAATGAAGCTAATTGCTTATTAACAAATAATTTTCTAGTCATGTTTTTAGATAATATACATTTTCAATTTATATAACTTAATAAAAGTATATAGTAATTAAAATTATTGATGATAATAGTGAATAATATTGATTCTTTATGTGATTTTTTTCCATGTATACTTAAAGAATTAATATATATCATAAAATGTATATATTTACACATTTTTTTAAATTTTTATTCTAACGAAATTTATTTTATTTATTTAAATAAATAACGAAATTAAGAAATAATAGAAAAATCACTAAAGAAATGAAACACAATTATGATTATTTATTTATTTACTATTAATATTATAAAAATAATTAATATACTTCACTTATAAGAGAAAGAACAATTGAAGAAATTTGTCTAAGGCAAAGACGGAAGATCACACTGAAAGATTAGACTTATAGATCATTAATTAGTTTTATTTATTTATTGAATAATATATATTTTTTAAATAAAATATATTATTTTCAATAACATTATTCTAATAAAGTATTTTAATTAAAATAAGCGAATAATTTTTGGCAACTTCGGAACACTATATAAACTTATGTTTCGCCTTAATTCCATTTGAAGATTCTTAATTTTTCTTCATTGTAGATGTTCATATGGAAGAACGCTTCGCACTTAGTCCCGATGACAGGGCTGCAAAAGTAACATGGTAATGAATATCCAAATTACTTGTTATAGAACGATATCCACCTTAATTTTCAACAAATAAAGATGATAAGATACTTACTCATGCACGCGTTTTTTTAGAACTTTAGGTTCGCGGTGATGTCTGCATCTCGCCAAGCAGTAGTAGATTTCGAGGTTACGATTTTTAATGACTTTCTTTAAATTTCTCGTGTCAATGTAATTACACGAAAAAGTAAACTTTCTTCCAGTTTCTTCGTAATATTTTTTACATGCATGGTCAAACTCTGCTTTAGAGTTAAATTCTTTACCAAGACCTAAACTCATGTCTATAGATTTCTATAGAAAAAGTAAAAATTTTAGTTTAGTGCTTGATATAATTGACAATTATTAAAAATTAGAGTTATTGGAATAATAAATAATACAATAATTACCTTGTTAGTGGTTATATGAATATTATTGCAGATAAATTAATACTATAATTTATTAACGGCACCGAACAAAGTAGTCGAACAGTAGCAAGATTCAACAATACTTTAGAATACGCATTGGGGAAGAACAAAATAGTACGAATAAGGAGATTGGAAAAAGAGGGAGTATAATGTATATGCTAGCTGAGAGTATTAAAGAGACGTATAAATGATATAAACTGGTCAGGTATGAGTAAAATAACGGCAAGTAAAGAGTGCTTATCGATTATCCCTCTTCAAAGCCTTAAAAAATTTATTTAGTCGTATATATACGGCTCAGTATGTGTACGACTCCGTACATGTGCAGCTCCGCAAACGTGCGACTTTTTCAAATTCAAAATATGAATTCCTCGCTACTTTCATTTAAGACCGTAAGTTTACGGATCCGTATGCGTACGACTCCGCATGTACACGGCTCCGTATACGTGCGACGATTTTTAAATAAAATTTGAATTTCCCGGGACCTGTGGCGCTCCGTACGCATACAGACCCGTATGGGTTCTACTCCGTATGTGCACGGCTCCATATACGTGCGACGATTTTTAAATAAAATTTGAATTTCCCGGCGGTCTGTGGCGCTCCGTACGCATACGGAGCCGTATGTATATGGAGCCGTATCTATCTTTTTCCGTACCTTTAGCCACATCCAAAATTTATTAATGAAATCTAGTCGAAACAACACTAGTCAAAGAGCGATCTATACGAATGATAAATTGTTCGAAAGTTCATGGTAAGTTACCATGTACATATGTATACATACACTTGAAACCTTAGAACCGGGCTAAGTGTCTCGTGTCTTGATATAGTGCCACCTGGATGCGACTAAACGCATCGCAGAACTTAAACCATTTCATTTCTGTTTATTCCTGCATTCCTGCTGTCTACTTAAGCCAAGCATCTGTTAAAAAAAAATATTAAAAAGAAAATATACCCTGATATCCACCTTACCTATAACTTACTGTCAATCTACGTCCGCGATTTGAAGCAAACTTGACGGAAAGAGTTGGCAAAGCGAGCGATTACCTATTAGTTACCTATAACTTACTCTCCAAATAGACGTCAAAACTTGCTGTACAAGTATTTCCGTCAAATTGTAGTAAAGTTGAAAGGAAATTTAACTACAAGTTTGATTGCTAACTTGTATTCAAGTTGCGGCCGTAGATTTCCGTCAATTTGCTTACAACTGTTGTTGAGTGAAGAATTACCGCCAACTTGATGTATAAATTAACCGTAACTGCTGGAAGTCAACGCTTACTGAGAAAGCGCTGGCTATCAGGGAAACGAGAGCACAGTGCCGCACGTTTGCGCTATAAACGTGCAAGAAGTTTAGTACAATAAAACAAAAAAAAAGTTAAAATTTTCAATTAAAAAAAACTTTAAAAAAATTATGTAAAAAATGTAAATACTAATTTTATTTTTATGTTTGTATTATTCATGATCCACGAAACAAATCACTAAAAGTTACTAATAGTCCACTGACTTTATTTTTACCCGTCGTAGAAGTAACGCTAGTGGAATTTTATTTTTTCATTTTATGTAAAAAGATCCGTTGATTACGAAAATAATAATAAAAAAGCTCAACTCCCCGGCGTTTTTTAAATAAATAATGAAATTACACTAGGGTCGCTGAAACACCGTGCAGTTTTATCAAATAACTTATATATATATATATATATATATATATATATATGTCGTTTCTACAATTCGGTGACTTTTTTGCGATTCGTTTCTACATTTCGGTGACTTTTTTACATTTTGGTGACGTCACCGAAATGTATTTTATATGTTTTCTACATTTCGGTGAAGTCATCAAAATGCTCATTCTAATTTTGATATATCATCAACATTTCGGTGACCCATGGTAATGCATTTTCACTCCGTTTCTACATTACAGTGAGTCACTGAAATGTATGTTGCGCTTTGTTCCTACATTTCAGTGACTCACTGTAATGACTCTATTATTCGGAATTGTATGTAACTATTTATAATACTGAATCACTACTCAGCCATAAAATATTTTTTTTTATAAAATTTTAAAATTTCAGCGAAAATGCTAACACGAAACATTCGTTAAAAAATTCTGTCAAAATCAAAAATTAATACTATCAGGGATATGGTCATGAGTTCATGAGTTTACATGAAAACTGTTATATTACATGCGTATTATACACCTAAGTCTACATAACACAAATGACAATTTTTGCTCGTTTATTTAGCGAGCAATAACATACATATAGCTATTTATTATTGTGTATGCTGATACAAAATATATATATAATAAAAAAAATATCCATCAAAATGTCAATTTTCTTCTTGCAATGGATTAAAATACTTCATAAATAAAACATAAAAAAATGTGCTAGTTGTCGAAAATTTTACGTTATATGTGATGGCTTGATTTTCTGTGTTTATTGAAAAAAAATTGACCATTGAAATTTTTAATCTGATAAAAATATTTACAATTACTAGTATACACGAATATGTGCATTATAAATAAACAAATAATTTTGTATGATATTAAACATATTTAAATAATTAAATTTTTTATAGTTTTCCGATTGAGATAATTGATTTTACACTGTGATTGTTGTTCGAATCTCCATGTATTTGTTTATATTATTTGTCTGTTTTATAAGTTACGAAAATAATCATTTATTGAAATTGTAAAACTGTTAAGAGCGTAGGGTAAATTTTAACTGATAAATAAAAATTAGTATTTAATTATCACAAAGTATGTAAATGTGTAATAAGTTATCTAAATAAGTGATTGATATAAATAAATAATAGTATAAATAGTATAAATAAATAAATAATAGTATCAGCAGTTTTACAAAACTTCAAAATTAAGAATTTTATCATATGATTAGATTATGTATTAAAAAAAGCTTTTCAGTGCGCTTTTATAAACATGAAACAACACCCTCAAGTGACTGAAAAGATGATGAAAAAAACGTTGGAAGTTATTATTTACTTGATATTTTTTATTCCATGCATCGAAAGCAGTAAGTAATCTAGTAAAAAATTTCTCTGTTATATTAGGATACTAAAATAAACAGATATCTGACCATTTTTGAGTTTTATTGAATAAATAGTTTGAAATTAAGTAAATATTTTTAAACTGCATTGTTAATTTTCGAAGATTTCCAAAGGTGACATTTATTTTTTACTTTCTTTACAACAATTTAATTGATTAAAAATATCTTCATAATTATCAGATGTCTGTTAAATTCGATACGATATTAAATTTCACGTTTTTAAGCTATATTATGCATCTTCACAGAATAATGAATTGTGTAAACAAATTAGAAAAGTGCTTGATGCTATGAGTCATCCTTGAACCTTGTTGCTACTTTCGAGTTAACAGCGCGTTGGTATACGATTTTATAAATTTAGGTATATACAGTCGACTCTCGATAATTTGAAACTCAAGGGACCAGAGATCAATTTCAAATTATCAAGAGTTCAAAATAACTAGTGTTTAAATAACCATGAGGGGGAGGGGGGGGGGACTGATGAATCCACTTAATCAAGCACTCTTCAAGACGGGGAAATTCTCCCTGGCGTGATATTTTTCTACTCGCAATTAAGGCACTTTCCGTAATGTAATCTTTCTTCTTCAAAATCATTGACAATGTCGACCGCAAAATACCAAACTGTTTAGCAACATCTTTTTTAAATTGTCCATCCTCTACAGCTTGAATCACACGCTTTTTTTCACGTATGGAAAGACATTTGTTCTTTCTTGGATTTATTTTAATAGCACAAATCAAACATTAAAGTGACTCATTAACGTTTCAAAGAAGACTGGAATGCGAACTTACTCATATCTCATTTATGTAAGCAATTGACAGGTCTGTGCATGTATGTAAACAATCGACAGGTATGTGCATGATAAACGCTTCAAATTATAGAGAGTAGGGAAGCCCAAATTTCAAATTATCGCATGTTGGTGAGCAAGATAATATTTTTTCAACTTCAAATTACCGAAGGGACCAATTATCATTGATTTTATTCAATTTATCGAGTATTTTTCAAGGGACGGGAAAAAATTTTCAAATTATCGACAGATTCAAATCAACGAGTGTCAAATTATCGAGAGTCGACTGTACTTATAAATTACAATACATTTTTGGGCTTTTCAAAAGCTTATTTAAAAACCTAACTCATTTTGTGACATTTTACCCAAGTTATTGAGAATCATTCCATACAAAAATGTCTGATTAGTAAAATTAACTCATTTGAAATTTACGTGAAATTTGTGACAATTTTTATAAAAGGTTAGTAGCTTTGTCAGTAGCTGTCAATATTTAACTCAATAATATTTGTATATATATTATTAATTTTTTTTATAATTTTTAATCGATGGCAGTGCCTTGTCTGTGTAATTCGAAGAATATACAAATGGAAGAATGACACTAAAGTTAATAAACAGTTTTTAGGGATTTTTATTTTAACAAATAAATTATTATAAAAAATGTTAAAGGAAACTCTACTAAGTGCAAATTTTAGAACCTACGAATCGAATTTTATAAAAATATTATAGTAAATTGTCAAATGTCGAGTGATTTTAGAATCGTATAGAATTTGATTTTTTTAAGTTTAAAAAACTCATTATCAATTATGATAGCACATTTCCTATTTCTTTAATACATTTCTTTTTCTCTGAAAAAAATCAAAACATATGTAGGGTAAAAGACCCCATTAGTGGCGGCGACCCATTACTGACACTTTCTTTGATTTTGGTACTTATTTAATTAATTAAATCATTAATTTCAATAATGAATATATTATTTCTAATCTTTAAGACCTATAGATCAAAAAAATTTTTTATTTTTATTCCAAGTAGAACATTTTTTCATTGAAAGAAAAAGTGCCACTAATGGGGTCTTTTCCCTTAGAATGATTTCTTTTCACTAGTATTTATATTAATAGTTTGAATTCGAATATAGCGAGATTTTCAGAATGGCCCATAGAGTTAATAGTTTTACAAAATTTTTTCTTGAAAAGTTTTTTTTGATTACATAAAGTATTATATACCATTTATAAATATATATATATTAGGGTGTGTCATTTTTAGGCGATATTTTTTTTTCTACTGCTATACCAGAAAATCTGGTAGTATATAGAAAATAAAAAATTATGCCGCTGAGCTAAAGGTTTTGAGTCCAATAGCGGCTTAGCTCATCAAAAAATTCGATTTCCCATTTAAATAACACAGGAAAAATTTTTTTTTTGTTTCAAGTGGACTTTTCGTTATTAAAAAAATTTTTTTTCGAAAAAACCTTCCAATGGCTTTTGTAGGAAATTAAATTGTCTACAAAAATATCTCTTTAGAAGAAGACTGTAGAACCACTATTTTTGAAGTTATAGTCCGTTAAACGGTAACATTTAAAAAAATACACATTAAATTCCATTTAATTTTCAATTTACCACTCTTACTTGAATAATTTAATTTTATTGTACATTTTTGAGCATTAAAATTTTTAATTAAAGTATTGACTCGTTTTAATATAATAATTTAAGTCAAATTATTATTAAATAGTTATTATTATTGTGAAATAATAACACTTATGGATTGAAATCATATTTTCGCGCATATTTAGGGCCAGTTTTTCAATCCGAGATAAAATTTTATCCGAGATAAAAGTACTGCCATTATGATAAAAAAAAAATCTGGAAAACGGTTGACCCTAAAGGCCATCCCTGCAACTTCCCGCCAATTCCATACCTAAACGCTTGAGATTGCACTTATGACATTTCTGAGCTCTTCGAGTTCAAAAGGCTGATAGAAGTTTAATAAAACAGTATTTTTTGAATTTTTAAACTGCAATAATTTTTAAATGAATGAATCGATTTTCACGTGGTTGGCAGTATTCCACGCACTTTGTCAGAATCTATGATATACTTTTGAACACAAACTCTATATGTAGATTAATATTTTTCATGAGCACCGAAAAAAAAAAAAATTTTGCGGAAATGAATCACCCTAATACATATATATATATATATATATATATAATATATTATATATAAATATATAAAATATATGAAAATTTGATGTAGGTATTCAAATGAAAGGTCTTGATGAGTGTAACATCGGGATGAGCTTATATCTTTAAAAATGTCAATTACTCACAAGATAAAAGGGATTTTCTTAATTATGTATCTGGAGACAGAACATTTTTAAATGCAGGCTAAATACTTATTCACTGAATTTCTCTTAATAATAAAGATTATTTTGTTTCTTATTCAACGAAAGACCATAATTACAATTTATTAAAATCTTTTATTAAAGTTATTTAAAAAGAATAGTGTTATGTTTATGAAAAAAGTTATTATATAGTAATAAACAAATTACGAATAGTTAATGCAATATTACGTAATTAAAAATGACAGCGAACATTTGTACATTGCTGATAATCGATAAATAATTTACGCCTTACTTTTAATTAACTTTTTAATGATTGAGGATAGAAAACAAAAATAATAATTATTATTATTAAAATTAATGGATGATAACTGTCTTGAAAACTTAATAGTTATCTTGCAATGAATGTGTACAGCCTACCAACTCTGAAGAGACACTTTTACCCGATTTATTTCCTGAAAAATAAATAAAATAAATTTGTTATTTTATTTTTAAATAAATTAATAATTAATTAACAATTACCTTGATTTTTTGGATTTTCTTCTGTCAGAACTGTCATCGCGTGGTCGCTTTTTGCTGGAAGATGAGGATGAGTGAGAGGACTTGTGCTTGTCATGTCGGTCGCTTTTCTTCGGGCTAGATAAAAAATAAATAAAAATTCATATTAATTAATCGAGTTATTAAATTAAAGGTGCTAATATAATCACCTATGTTTGGACGATTTTGAAGGAGACACTTTCTTGTGTGACCTCCCACTTCGAGATCGGTCCGATCTTAAATAAATAATAGACCAGTGGAGAACAGACAAGATTTATTTACAGAATAGTATTATAAATTATCATGAAAATTAATTGAGCATGTTTAATAATTTTATAACAAATAAATTATGGCAAAAAAAATTATAAAAAAATTTAATCTTTTTAAAATAATTTTTTTTTTTAAATAAAATTAAAAAATTGTTAAGTGACTGACTAACTTTAATGTTATAAAATTATTAACAAGGTTCATGCAGTGAAAAATACACAACAACTAGCAACCTTGCAGTTACGATGTGACTGCCGTGATTTGTGGATTATAAATAAGATTTTGCATTATTAAATAATGACTGTTGTTAAATTGCACTGTACTTTCTTAACAATTGACATTTCTAAAGATATAAGCTCATTTTGATGTTACACTTGTCGAGAGCTTTCATTTGAGTACCCATATGCATTTTTGATATATTTTTCATATATACATATATATATAATATATATAAATATACAAAATATATGAAAAATCGATGTGGGTAATCAAATGAAAGGTCTTGAAGAGTGTAACATCGGTATGAGCTTACATCTTTAAAAATGTCAATAGTTTTAAAAATACAAGGTAATTTCTTAATTATTGGCCTTTTTAAGGATATAAGCTCATCCCGATGTTACACTCATCGAGTCCTTTCATTTGAGTACCCACATCAATTTTTCATATATTTTTCATACATTCATATATATATAATATATAATATATATATATATATATATATATATATATATAAATATATAAAATATATGAAAAATCGATGTAGGTAATCAAATGAAAGGTCTCAATGAGTGTAACATCAGGATGAGGTTATATCTTAAAAAATGACAATAGTTCACAAGACACAAGGCTAGAGATATAAATCCACCAGCCACAAAATTTGCTTATTCTCTCAATAACATAGATAATTCCGTCACCTTATAAATTAACTCCTGAGAAAAATAAATTACCTGTGCTTATCAGAAGACCTGCGATCGCGATCTTTGGAGCTGCTCTTGCTCTTAGAACTAGAGGAGCTCTTGTGCTTAGAACTGTGCCGATTTTTCGAAGGCGAAGGAGTGTCATGCTTGGACTTTTTCTTGTTCTTGGTGTAAGTATCCGCAGGATAATTGCTCCTCTCATTGTCTTCCTCAGCAGCTTCTCGCTCAAGATCAGACCAGTCTTTCCCGGACTCTTCAGAGCTTCCAAGCTCCTCCTCCTCGGTCTCGGAGTCTTCAGAAGCTTCAGAGTACTCTGAGTCCTCATCAGACTCCTCCTCGCTCTCAATATCCGTGGGCTCGTAGGCGTCATCATCTTCCTCTTCTTCGTCATCAACCTCTTCATTTTCTGCGTCGCTCTCCGGGTCCAAGAAGGTCCAGCCACCGCTCTCGAAGAATCCCTCGGGGTCGTCGGTGATGGTCTTCATGATCTTGGCCCAATTGAGCGACTGGACACCCTCGGAGTACCGGATGTCGCAAGAGTTGAGCCACTCCTTGACATGGTCCAGCATGTTCATCGGGATGGCGTTGACCATCGCGATTTTTTTGTGGTAGTCTTTAAAAACGAAGATCATGTCGAAGTTCTTTAAGTGGAACTGGACACGCTCGAAGTGGACCAGCTCGACGTCTTCCAGCGTGATGACGAATGGCGGCCACTCGGTCAGGTGAACTAGACAACCGCTGGTCGGCTGGAGCAGCACGGTGCTCCTGAAAGGCGCGCCAGGGAATCCCAGCTCTCTGAAAGGAGTATCAAACTCAATCTCTTGCTTAGTGAGAGTCTCGACCTTCTCGCAGAAGCTCTTGAAGGCAGTCTTTAGCTTGTGTCTGAGCTCTCGCTCCGACTGCTCGGCCGCGAGGTCGTCCCGATCGTGCATGTGCTGGTGCTTGCCCAGGTCCGTGGTGATCTCTCCGACTTCTGTGTAGAACTGCACGTCCACGTGCTTCTTTTTCCCGAACATTATCGCGTGCTTCAGGTGGAAGTGCAGCAGAATGATCATCTCTCCGTCGCCGGGCTGGAAGAACGCGTTCTTTATGTTGTTGTAGAGGATGTCGACCTTGTCTCCGCGGACTGACGTGTAGCGGAACCCGTTCGAGTGGGCTTCCAAGGTACCCGTCATTCTTTTCGTGACGATGTTCGGACGGATGTACAGATCTTTCAGCTTGGGGTTTCCTTTGTTTTGCGTGAGAACTAACGTGTCTTGCTTTACCAAGTCTTCTTTTTCTCGTTCCTCTGCTTCGCGGTTTTTGAACTTCTTCTGGACTTCTTTTATCAATCTAAATATAAAACAGCAATTATTTTAATTAACTAGTGATAGTTATTGAAATATAAGCTCATCCTGATGTTACACTCATCGAGATCTTTCATTTAAGTACCCACATTAATTTTTCATATATTTCATATATTCATATATATTATATATATGTATATATGAAAAAAAATTTACATTAATTAAATGAATTATTCTTATCAAATGGAACTCATTTTATTACTATTAATAACAACAAAATAAATAATTCCTTTTTTTACGTTTTTATTAATAGGAAATCACAAGGAATATAATTTTAAAATATATTTATCAAATATCAAATAAATAAAATAATGGTCATTATGAACGAATCCCTTTATAGCAAGGAACATAATGATTCAAGTGTTTTTCCGTTAGTATACCTCTCCGTTGCTCGTACTTATATGAACGAGTAGTCTTAAGTGAAAGGACTAGTGGCATCAGTACAGTATGGTAGTACCATACTACAGTTGAACATTCGAACGCACAAGTATTGATGCCTAGTAAGTCAGACTACTATTTATTTTATATTATATCGTTCACATTGATAATATATAAAGTAAACTTAAAAATATGCTTATATTAAGTTATAAGTATATTTTAAAACGCATCATAACCACGGGTCGATGTCTATGACTGAATGACTTACATTGTTAAATATGTCAATATTTCACAAGATACAAAGTCATTTTCTAATTATTGATATTTTTAAAGATTTAAGCTCATCCTGATGTTACACTCATCAAGAGCTTTTGTTTGAGTACTCACATGAATTTTCATATATTTTTCATATATACATATATATAATATATATATAAATATATAAAATATATAAACAATTGATGTGGGTACTCAAATGAAAGGTCTTAACGAGTGTAACATCGGGATGACCTTATATCTTAAAAAATGTCAATATTTCTCAAGATACAAGGTAATTTCTTAATTATGTATCTAGAGATTATTTTCAAGTGCTTATTAAAAAGAAACTAAAAACAACAAACCTAAAAGCAGTATTAAGGTTAGCAGAAGGTGCCGAGATCTCTCCTGGTTCTTTGGTATTGGTACTGCGATAAGTGACTTCTTTGACGAAAGTGGCATCAGGCTGGGGATAACTCCCCCCTTCATTCCGACCCATAGTAGCTCCAGGATGAAAAAAGTTTATTCTGAGGTAGGTGTAGTCCCCTTCGACACTCTGGGAGATGTTTTTAATAGTCGATATGTGAAACGGAACGGGAATTCCGAACACCGGTAGGATAACAGTCTCGTACTTTTTATCAACATACAATTTGAGCTCTTTGACTTCGGGCTCTCTGGGCATTTGACTGAGACTTTTATACGAGACAGTGGACTTGCGGATCTTCTCCTCCTCCTTGCCACCAGACTGCTGAGCGAGCCTAGCCTTGGCAATTTCATTCAACTGCTGAGCAAGTTCCTTCTGGTGCTGCTTGCGCTTCTCCTCGGAGCTGTGCTCAGTCCTGAGCTTGCTTTCAATAACAGCAGTCCGCTTACCTCGGCCAAGAATCTCCGGCTTGGGTTCGTTCTCCTTGCCACTTCCCTCTTCCTCTTCTTCCTCCTCGTCCTTAAGGTAGATCCCGATGTTCTTGACCTTCTTCTTAGAGTTAGTCAGAACTGTCGCAGGAGCTCCGGGCTCGCCGACGAGCACAGTGTCTCCAATAAACAGCGCGTAATTTTTGCCCTCTTTGTCAGTCGCCGCAGGGTTATTTAAATTCGACAGACCCACGTGGAGATTGAAGACCATGCCTTTCTTCAACAGAGCATGTGTCTTGGGCCCGATCATCAGCGAGCTCTCACGAAACTCAATCCCCATCGCGAAGCCGAAATTTTTCGTCAAATGATCCAACATGTTGGGCTTCTCCTGCTTAACGTACGCAAGTCCCGTCTCGTAGACCGCGCTGATCTTGGTGCTGGGTGTCATCTTCTTCATTATCTCCTCCTGAAGAGCCAGAAGGAAGTTGTAGTTCTCCTCGATCGCGCTCGTTGGGTTGACCAGCAACGTACGAACGATATTCGAGCAGTAAGACTTGTACCTAGCTCCGAGAGAACAAATAATCGTCCCGAAGTGAAGCGTGTTTTTGTCGCTCACCACGCTGAATTTTAGAGTGTAGTTACCCCCGCTTTGAATTATCGCAGGGTAACACATGTCTACTTGAGAAGTATCTACGCCGGTTACGTACTTTTTGTTAGTCACTGCTGCGTCCACGCCCTCGGCTAACTTTGAGTGCTTTACTTTCTTGTCTGAGTCGATTATCTCCATTATCTGGTCCTTGAGGTACTTGGTGAAGACGTCTACTGACACCACGCAGGCTTTTTTTATTGTTAAGATCTCTACGTCCTCTTTTGGACACATTACGTAGGCTGCTGCTGCACTCACGTCAATCTTGAATTTGAATTATTAGAAAAAGTTTTTTAATTAAATTTTGCTTTATTAAATTGCACTCTACTTTCTTAAATATTGATGTTTTTTAAGATATAAGCTCATCCTGATGTCACACTCGTCAAGAGCTTTCATTTGAGTACCCACATGCACTTTTCATATATTTTTGATATATACATATATATAATATATATAAATATATGAAATATATAAAAAATTGATGTAGCTACTCAAATGAGAGGTCTTGATGAGTAGAACATCAGGATGAGCTTATATCTTTAAAAAGGTCAATAGTTAAGAAATTACCTTGTATTTTGTGAACTATTGACATTTTAAAATAAATAAGCTCATTCTGATGTTCTACTCATCAAGACCTTTCATTTGAGTACATACATGCATTTTTGATATATTTTTCATATAAACATATATATATATATATATGTTTATATGAAAAATATATCAAAAATGCATGTATGTACTCAAATGAAAGGTCTTGATGAGTAGAACATCAGAATGAGCTTATTTATTTTAAAATGTCAATAGTTCACAAAATACAAGGTAATTTCTTAACTATTGACCTTTTTAAAGATATAAGCTCATCCTGATGTTACACTCATCAAGAGCTTTCATTTGAGTACCCACATCAATTTTTCATATATTTATATATATTACATATATGAATATATGAAAAATATATCGAAAATGCATGTGGGTACTCAAATGCAAGCTCTTGATAAGTGTAACATCAGAATGAGCTTATATCTTTAATGAAAAATTGATGTGGGTACTCAAATGAAAGGTCTCGATGAGTATTATGTCGGGATGAGCTTATATTTTTTAAAATGTCAATAGTTTCTAATTTTTTTAATATTGATTAATTAATTATACATACAGTTTCGAAGGAATGAACCTTCATGGCAGCCCTCCAAGCGTCCATAAAAGCTCCAGGATAATTTTCTTTGGAGAAAACACCAAGTGTTTTACCCTTTTTGCTTCCTTTTATTACATCGATCAGTTTACCGAAGTTTGCTTTGTCTTCGTCGCTCTAAAAATTAAAAAAAAATATTTTTATAATAATTTAATTGTTAAAAAAATTATAAAATTAAATATTGTCATTATTTTAATTGTTAAAAAGCGTACCTTGTCTCGAACAAATAATTTAACAGGAGGAACTCCAGTTTCTTCAGTCTTTCCGCTCTCGACCTGTCGAAGAAATTCGATTTTCTTTTTGCTGGACAAAAAACAGATGCAATCCTCAGCGAGGATCATAATAGTGTCAGTAAGTTCGTAGCTCAGCAACCAAGTCTATAAAAAACAAATTAATTTAGTAAATATTTAATAATTGTAATTATTTTTATAACAAACTATAGCAAAAAAAAAACTGACATGCCTATAGATATTTAAAAAAAAAATTAAAAATGTAATTTTTAAATAATTTTTCATAAAAAATTTAAAAAAATGATCAAGTCACTGCTAATTTTAATATCATAATTAATTAGAATAAAATAAAATACCTGAAGAGCCATAGACTTGCTGTAGATTATGTCCTCGTCAGTCCCTACTGCCGAAATAAGGCAGTCCATTTTGCTGAAGCTGTCATCAGTCCCGACTTCACCATCCTGAGCAACAAGTCAGTTAAGGATTAAATAAGTAATTACATTATAATTAAAATAAATAATGATGAATTTTACCTTCCAGCCGTTGTACAGGCGTTTCATACGCCGGAAGAATGTCTCCTTGTCCAGAGATACGGTTGCCATCGCCGACGCTTTTTAGGTTAGAGTTCGACCAAGCAACAGATATTCACCCCAAAAAAAACTCACACGTTTTATAAAAATTAATCCGACGCTTAAGTTTAAAATAAATAATTGGCCCGCAAGAGAGAATTTTTTACATTTTCACCGACGCAAATTCAGGGTAATCTCGGAGTAACTACGCAAAAGAAATTACTCACCAGACCGATGTGTGTGATGGCGGGATTCGCCTGAAAAGCTGAAAATGTATCGGAGTTGCGAGACGCTGATAGACAAGGACACTTAATATATATTGCCGCGCGTATATTTTTACTCGCCGCCATCTTTAGTTACATCTCTTGATAAAGTAGACTTCTTTAGGATCACTGAAGTTAGCAGACGTCTAAAAATTTTTAATTTTTATTTTTTATTATTTATTAAATTACAACTAAAAATATATTTATAAAAAATTGCACTTATAGTTTTTAAAGTTTTTTCCATGTGCAATTTTTTTTTAATTGTTTAATTGAAATTTTTTCAATAAAAATTTTGAAATGTCGGCTAACTTCATTTTCATTATAATTAACATGCGCGCGCAACTTGGACTAGTACTAGTATAGTCTACTATATATAGTTGAATATTTTATTTCACAACTTTAACAACGTGCTTAACCTTAAATATTAAAAAAAATTCTGCTTGGATGCAGTAGAGTTTGTTTAATTAATTTTTTAATTAATTATTTAGTCCAGCTGATTAACAAATGAATAAATTTTGAAAAATATTTTAAATTATATTTGTGATTAAATAGTTTTTGTGAAAATGGATTTTGGCGTCGAAGCATTCGACGTGTTTTACGAGGAAAACGATAATGATGCCGAGGTTATTTCAACGGTGATAAACTCCGAGAATAATGACTTAAAGTGAGTTATTTTTTTTTTTTTTTTTTTTTTTATTTAAAAATTTGATTTAAAAATTTATTGTTTATATTTTTTTTTTAGAGCTAATGTTAGTTCGACTAAGCGTGAGCTTGAGGAAGACCAGGATGTTAGCAGTAAAAAGCAGAAAGTCGAGTCCATTTTGGAGGATATTAAGTAATTATTTTTTAATTATGAAAATTAATTTAGCTGATATTTAATTTAAAACAAAATGAAATTTTTTGGATAATGCCAAAGTTAGCCGACGATTTTAATTTTTTGATTTTTTTTCAATAATTAAATTAAATTAAAATATTTTTTAAAAAATGCACTTAAAGATTTTTACAAGTTTTTTTTTTTTTTTTAAATTTGTTTAAAGTCGCATAAACTACTAAGGTCATGAGCGACTACGGTAGGGGGTACACTTTTGAGATTGGAACTCGTTTGTATTTCTTGGGCTGAGCAGAATAATACACTTAAATATTGAAAATATTCATTGGTGTTCGCCGGATTCGAACCCGGTCCAATGCTTTGGTAGCAAGGGCCGGATCCGATAGGCTACTGCGCGCCTATTTTTACAAGTTAAAATTAAAAAAAATTATTTTTTCAATAAAAAAAAAATTCTACAAATTTTTAAATGTCGGCTAACTTAATTTTCATATTTTTTTGCACAAATTTGTTTGTTAAAAAAAGATTATTAAGAGAATATTTTATTTATTTTTAGTTTGGACGATTTGATATCGCAGATAAAAGTTCATAAAATAGAAACAATTGAATCGTGTACCCATGAAGTAGCAGTTCCGCCAGACCACGAGTACATTCCACTGGAAGTAAAGACAACACCTCCGGCAAAGGAGTACAAATTTGTCTTGGATCCTTTTCAGAAGGAAGCGATTCTTTGCATTGAGAACAACCAGTCTGTGCTGGTGTCTGCTCACACTTCTGCTGGAAAAACTGTCGTCGCTGAGTAAGTAGTTGTAAATTATTTATTTATTTACTCATCGAACTATAATATTAAAGTTAGCCGACGTTTATTGATTTTTTTTTAAATTGTTAAATTAGAACTAAAAAATATTTTTAAAAAATTTCACGTGATGTTTTTCAAGTTTTTTACAAATGAAAATTTTTTTGTAATCATTTGTTCAGTAAAAAAAATTTTTTTAATGCCGGCTAAATTACTTTTCATTATTAAACTTACTCCAATCGGCAATAGTAGTAAAGTTAGTTGACATTTTTTATTTTTTTGGTTTGCTTTATTAAATTAAAACTACAAAATATTTCTTAAAAATTCCACTTAAGGTTTTCCAAATTTTTTACAAATGAAATTTTTTTTCTTATTTTTTTTTTAATAAATAATATAAAAAAATCTTAAAAATCTTAAGATGTATCTTAAGATATTAAATAAAAACTAAAAAATTGCACTGATAGTTCTTCAAGTTTTTTTACAAGTGAAATTTTTTATTTTCTTTTTTTTGTAATAATTTTTCAATAAAAAAAACTTCTGAAAGCTTTTAGATGTCGGCTAACTTAATTTTCATTTTTTATTCGGCAATAATAGTAAAGTTAGCCGACATTTTTTATTTTTTTGATTTTACTTTATTAAACTAAAACTAAAAAATATTTTTCAAAAATTGCACTTAAAGTTTTTTAAATTTTTTACAAATATAATTTTTTTTATTTTTTTGCAATAATTTTTTCAATAAAAAAAATAATAAAAATTTTTGAATGTCGGTTAACTTAATTTTTATCGAGTGGCATTATAAATCAGAGTTAAAAAAAAAGAAAAAAGAAAATAATTTCTAACATTTTACACTTTTTATTAATCAATACAATTTTTCTAGGTACGCGATAGCATTATCTTTGCGTGACAAGCAGCGAGTAATTTACACAACTCCAATAAAAGCTCTGAGTAATCAAAAGTACCGAGAGTTTTACGAAGAATTTAAAGACGTCGGATTGGTAACTGGAGACGTAACAATAAACCCAACAGCATCTGTGCTAATAATGACCACGGAAATTCTCCGGAACATGTTGTACCGCGGGTCGGAAGTGATGCGTGAAGTAGGTTGGGTGATCTTCGACGAGATCCACTACATGAGAGACAAAGAGCGTGGAGTAGTCTGGGAAGAAACGCTGATTCTTCTTCCTGACAATGTTCACTACGTGTTTCTATCGGCGACAATTCCCAACGCGAGGCAGTTCGTCGAGTGGGTGACTCACCTGCACCACCAGCCTTGCCACGTGGTCTACACGGACTACCGTCCAACTCCCCTGCAGCACTACATATTTCCAGCTGGTGGTGATGGCATTCACTTGGTAGTTAACGAGGACGGTCAGTTCAAGGAGGACAACTTCAACCGAGCGATGAGTTGTCTCCAGAATGGTGACGCTGCCAAAGGTGATCTCAAAGGCCGGAAGGGCGGACCCAGGGGTGCTAATGCGGCTCAGTCTAATATCTTTAAGATTGTCAAGATGATTATGGAGAGAACCTTCGCGCCTGTTATTATTTTCAGCTTTTCTAAGAAAGAGTGCGAAGCTTATGCGATGCAAATGTCTCAGCTGGACTTTAATACTGAAGCTGAGCGGAAGCTCATTGATGATGTCTTCAATAATGCTATGGATGTGCTCAGTGATGAAGATCGCAAGCTTCCTCAGGTGTGTATTTTTTTTTTATTTTATTTTATTGTCTATATTATTAAGAGAATAAGCAACATGACCTTGTATATCGCGAATTATTGAAATTTTTGAAGATATAAGCTCATCCCGATGTTACACTCATCAAGACCTTTCATTTGAGTACCCACATCAATTTTTCATATATTTTCTATATTTATATATATATATCATGTATATGTATAAATGACAAATATATCAAAAATGCATGTGGGTACTCAAATGAAAGCTCTTGATGAGTAGAACATCAGGATGAGCTTATTTCTTTAAAAATGTCAATAATCAAGAAATGACCTTGTATCTTGTGAATTATTGACATTTTTTAAGATATAAGCTCATCCTGATGTTACACTCATCAAGACCTTTCATTTGAGTACCCACATCAATTTTTTCATATATTTATATATATATATATATATATTATATATATGTATATATGAAAAATATATCAAAATTGCATGTGGGTATTCAAATGAAAGCTCTTGACGAGTGTAACTTCAAGATGAGCTTATATCTTTAAAAATATCAATATTCAAGAAAGTACAGTGCAATTTAACAAAAATCATTATTAATTATAAATTATTCAATCAATCTTCTAGAGAAAACTAATAAAACAAAAATTTTAGGTTGAAAATGTTCTCCCACTTCTGAAACGCGGCATCGGCATCCACCACGGAGGCCTCCTGCCAATCTTAAAAGAAACCGTAGAAATTTTATTCGGCGAAGGTTTGATAAAAGCTCTCTTCGCAACAGAAACATTCGCAATGGGCTTGAACATGCCGGCAAGAACAGTCCTATTTACAGCGCCTCGCAAGTTCGACGGCAAGGACTTCCGGTGGATAACCTCCGGCGAGTACATCCAGATGAGCGGCCGAGCCGGACGTCGAGGTCTCGACGAGAAGGGAATAGTAATTCTGATGGTCGACGAAAAAGTCAGCCCGGCTGTCGGCAAGGAAATAGTCCTCGGAAAAGCCGACCCGATAAACTCGGCTTTCCACCTGACCTACAACATGGTGTTAAATTTACTCCGAGTCGAGGAAATAAACCCCGAGTACATGCTCGAGCGTAGTTTTTATCAATTCCAGAACCAAGCTTCAATTCCTATTTTGTTCAACAAAGTCAAAGAGCTCCAGCAGACCTACGATGATTTGGTAGTTGATAAATTTAATCAGATTGCTCCTTATCACGACATTCGTCAGCAGTTGGACCGGCTGAAGGTTGACTACAGAAGTTATATTACCAGGATTGAATATTTGTTGAAATTTCTTCAGCCGGGCAGGATGATTAAAATTAAAAACGGTAATAATATTTTTGACTGGGGAGTTGTTATTAATTTTAGAAAAAAAAATTCTAAAAATCCAAAAGAAAATGCGGTTATTATCATCGACATGCTTCTTCACATTTCTAAAGATTCTACAGAGTGCGCGCCGATGCCTTGCGCAGAAAATGAGGACGGAGAGTTTGAAATCGTGCCTGTAATGCACACTTTAATTTCTGAGATAAGCACACTTAGGTTGCCGATTCCTCAGGACTTAAGACCGCCTGACAACCGCAAGAGCGTCTTAAAATCAATAAAGGAAGTGAAGAAACACTTTCCCGACGGGATTCCCCTTCTGGACCCGCTTAAAGACATGGGAATCGCGGACTCGACCTTCGAAGACATCGTCAAGAGGATAAAAATCCTTGAGGATAAATTATACGCCCACCCTCTGCACAAAGATCCCGGATTGAGCAAGCTCTACAACGAGTTCCTGCGCAAGGACGAGCTGGGCAGCGAGCTGAAGCAAGCTAAGCAGGAATTGAAGAAAGCAAAGTCTGTGTTGCAGATGGACGAGCTCAAATGCAGAAAGCGGGTTCTCAGGAGACTGGGGTACTGCACTGCTGCTGATGTTATTGAGCTTAAAGGTCGGGTTGCTTGCGAGCTAAATGGAGCTGATGAACTGCTGCTCACGGAGATGATTTTTAATGGGCTCTTTAATTCGCTAAATGTTCCGCAGATGACTGCGCTGCTCAGTTGCTTTGTTTGCGATGAAAAGTCCAACGAAATGCCCAAGAGCACCAACGAGCTCAGTGGCCCGCTGAGGCAGATGCAGGAGTTGGCCCGCAGGATTGCTAAAGTTTCTGCTGAAGCTAATTTGGAGATTGATGAGGATAGTTATGTTGAAAGGTTCAAGCCTTTTTTGATGGATGTCGTTTATTCTTGGTGCAAGGGAGCTTCTTTCTTTCAGATCTGCAAGATGACTGATATTTTTGAAGGTAATTTTATTTTGATAATTAATTTAGAAGATAATTAATGAAAATAAAAATACCAGACAGTTGACAATTTTTAGAATGCTTTTTATTAATAAAATTATTAAAAAAAAATTATAAGAAAAAATTGCATATGTAAAAAATTTTAAAAACTACACGTGCAATTTTTTAAAAAAATATTTTTTTATTGCTAATTTAATTAATAAAAAAAAATTAAAAATTTTTTGCTGGTGGTTGATTTAAGTTTCATGAATAAAATTAGCAGCTGACAATTTTTAAAATGTTTTTTATTAATAAAATTATTACTAAAAAATTAAAGGAAAAAATTGCATATGTAAAAAATTTTAAAAACTACACGTGCAATTTTTTAAAAATATTTTTTTATTGCTAATTTAATTAATGAAAAAAAAAAAAATAAAAATTTTTCGCGGTTTAATTTTAGTTTCATGATATTTAATCATTTTTTTTTTTAATTAATTAGAAAAAAAATTGACATGTAGAAATTTTAAAAAATTAAAAATACAATTTTTTAATTAAAAAAATTATAAAATTCTCTAGTAACTGCTAAACTTTAAATGTCATTATTTATTTGTTTCCAGGTTCGATAATTAGATGCATGAGACGATTGGAGGAAGTACTGAGACAACTGATTCAAGCTGCGAAAAATATCGGAAACTCGGATCTAGAAAATAAATTCAGCGAAGCTATCAAGTTATTAAAACGTGATATTGTTTTTGCAGCCTCGTTATATTTGTAAATAATTATTTATTATTTACATATAATTTAAGCAATGAATTGACAATTTTTTAAATTTTTTAATACTTATTATTTAATAGTAAATATTTTTCAAAATTTAAATTGCTTTCGCGTTAGATTTTTGAAAATATTTTTGTAATAAATAAAAAAATTGTTAAATGGTTGCTGATTTAACGATGATGATTTTAAGTTTGAAAGCTGAATTCAAGTGAATTGATGTAAATAAAATTAACAAACGAACATTTTACAAACAAATTTTATAAATAATTCTTTTTTTTCAATTAACAATTAAATAATGTAAAAATAATATTAATAACAAAAAGTAGTAATTTGAGATAAATTACGAGTTTCAATTAAAACAATTACATATTTAAAAAATAAGCAATAAATTATTTAAAAACAATAATAAAAATTGTAAGAAATTTTTAATTAATTAATTATTTTTTATATATTTAATTTAATTAAAAATATAAAATTTAAAATAACCCGCGTAGTTCTGAAAAAGCAGCGCGCATGCGCGGGTTTGAATCCTGCGCAGTGAAGCTGCGCAGAAGAGATGACTTGCAAGTTTTAACGGTCGGAAGGCAGTTCAGTCCCCGAGCCAACAGCCAACGCTTCTTCATTGACGTCTCCCGCGTATTTAGATGGTTATGCATTAATAATTGAATGATTTAATAATAACTTAGCGCCAATATAGTTTATTAATGTCCCTTTTGCTATCAAGATAATAATTTTAGAAAAATATTTATGGTAAGATAATTATTTATTGAAATAAATAAAATAAAATTCCCGTCTTGTACTACGAACAATGGATCCTTCTCGAAGCCTCCGGGTTTCTTTTGTTTTTCAATTTATATTGTTAGATATTAATTATTATTGAATAATTATTAGCTTCATTTATTTTAATATTATTATTTTTATTAATTATTAAAAAAAATTTATTAAAATTGAAATAAATGACGCAGTTGTCTGGAAGCTGCGCGGATTCGAAATCTGCGCAGCTAGGCTGCGCAGAAGAGATGAATTGCAAGTTTTAACGGTCGCGCGAGCCGGTAAGCCAGTTCAATCTCCGAGCCAACAGCCAACGCTTCCATATTGACATCTCCCGCGTATTTAGATGATAATGCAGTAATAATTAAATAATTTAATAATAATTTATAACCAATATAGTTTAATGTCCCTTTTTGCTATAAAGATAATAATTTCAAAAAAATATTTATGGTAAGATCATTATTTATTGGAATAAAATTCTCGCACTGTGGAGCTCTCTAGAAGCTTCCGGGTTTCTTTTGTTTTTCAATTAATATTGTTACAAATCAATTAATATTGACTAATTATTAGCTCAATTTCATTTAACAATATTATTATTAAATATTAAATATATGAAAATTACGTTAGCCGAGATTTAAAGATTTAAAAAATTTTTTTTATTAAAAAAATGAATACAAAAAAAAAAGAAAAAAAATTTTCATTTGTTGAAAAAGACATTTAAATTAATTTAGCTTGACAATTATTAATTTTCTTTAACAAAAAAATTTGTTCTAAAAAATTATTTTTAATTTATTAAAAATTCTACAAGTCCATTTTTTTAATAATTTATTTTTGCCATAATTTATTTATTAAAGAAAATTAAAAAGATTTTGTGAAGTGACAGCTAAATTTAATGTCATTTGTTAAAAACTTTAAAAATTGTAAGTGCAATTTTAAATAAAATTTTTTTTTGTTTTAATTTAATTATTAAAGAAAAATTATAAAATTAAAAATGTCGGCTAACTTTATTATTATATAAAATATTTATTGAATACATTTTTTTTGAAAAAAATGCATAGTCAGTAAATCTTCTGTCATTTTTTAATTGTAAATTCGTGGAATTGACAATCATTTAAAAATTTAGATACTTTTTTTTAATTTCATAATTTTTTTTTATAAAATTTATTTTAAAAAATTTAATAATTCGCTAATAATAATAGAAATAATATTTTAATAAATTTTTTTTTTTTTTAATACCAAATTTTAAGTAATTAAAATAATTATGTGACAATTACTAGCTTCAGAATTATAATATTATAATAATTTATAAAATTTACTGAAAGTTAATGAAGAAACGTTGACTTGCGGACTCAAATTCGGTATATTTAAAACTCGGTCTTAAGTTTCGGTTTTGTAGTTTGATTAAAAAGTGAAGTATTTTTAAAACTAGCTTTAGTGTAGGTAGTTTGATTAATTAGTGAAGTATTTTTAAAACTAGCTTTAGTTAAGTATAAAAAGTTTAAAAGTGAAAAATTTTATTTTAATTTAGTGTAGGAGTGTGTGTTTTGTGTTGAAGATGCTTAAATTATCATCATCAGGTAAGATGAATAATAAATGTATGACGAATGGATAGTAGGCATTTAGCAATTTTTACAAACAAAGATAAAAATTGTTTTGTCTTCTACATTTTAATTTTTATTCAATGTTTTAAATCTTGAATTTTCTTTTTTTTCCAGAATGTTCGCAGCTTTCTTCTATTTACCAGCCGATTGCTTCTAACTGCAGAAATGGTGAGTTTGTTATAATTTTTTTAACATTTTTAAATGACGCATATAATCTCAAAATTTATTTACTATGAAGCTGATATTTTTTATTAGTCAAAACAAAATATTTATCAAATAAATTAAATAGTTCAAAGCAGCCTTATATTTTTGGCGCTAATTTTAAAATTATTAATGATAGCTTACTTACCGACTGTGGGTTTACCAATGACAATACCTTCAGTTTTATATCTTCAAAGCCCCGATGATATATATTCCATTAACTTTTTTCCAACTTTAAGTTATCTAAATAAAAAGCATGCAATTGATTTTACACAAAAATTTTGGCAACATAACTTCGTGTATTGATACAACTATTTGTATTAACGTTTTTGTCCTACAACTTTGTGTGTGATATTATAATACCCATTCCGTTAAAATTGTCCGAATGTGGAGCAGTACACTCAGCAATTCTCGAGACTTTATGCAATGTTCTTATCTAAAATCCCGAACAAGTTAAAAAAGCTCTTAGTATTTCAGTAAATTAAAAGCACAATAGATTAAAAATTCTTGGAAACCGAAATAATAAAACGCGTAGTCATACGGGTCGTCACAAAAAGCACAACTCGTTTTCTCTTTAATACTTGATACCGGTCTCTTGGACAATTTGCTGAGCACAAAAGAAAATCCTCGAGACGTGCAAAGAAGGATAACCGAGTACCCGAGCGTTGCGACGGCGAAAAACCACCCAGTTCAATTTAATAATTGTACTATTTTCAACACAACTAAAAAGAAAAAAAAAACAACCACAATCCAAATAAGATACACCTTTTTGTTTATTTTCTATGATTTTCCTCGACATTCGTGTCTACAGGAAAAAGATTGAGAGAACTATTACTATCAGAGTAATGGAGTAAATGCACATGGGGATGTATTACGGATTACCAGAAAAAAATGATAAAATAATCGCTTGCAACTAGGATGACTCAGCTATAATCAAAAATTAATATAAATATAGGATAAAATTGAAAAAAATTTTTTTTTAATTAAGCTACAGACATCAGAACAAGCATTTGGCTTGAAGTACCCCTATAATATCCTTTCAATAGTCTCCTTATCCGAATGAAAAGCCAAAGAGTGAAAATTACAGTTAATCGAGTGTTATTACCATAAATAATAACAATTAGTGACAAACAGTCCGTTGAAGATATAATCTGGCGACAGATGTCGAGGGCTAATTCGAATCCAATCGCTCGTCAGTATCTTGGCCGGTCTGGGGGTGAATGGGAAGCTTAATCCAAAAATAATGCGCAATTAGCGTCGGTGTTTAAAGTTTATTCGACGATACGAATATTGCATATTAATTATTCAGTAATCACTGAACATTCAGTTGCCTCTACTGCTCTGTTCATTATAATCCTTATCCACTTATTTATAAATACCCTGGTGCTCCATGGTGTGTAACGACAATAACAATAATTGTTGCATAATCAACTTGTTTAAAGTTTAAGAGTAAGCGAATCGTTTTATAAGCGTTAATCGACAACCCTTATAAACCTTAAGTGCATTCTAAAGGCGTAATCGGGTACTACATACAGCATACAGCGGACCCTTAATTTCGGTGGCACCAATCCAACGAATTTAGACAAGTCTCTGCGGTTACTAAACTCGAGTAACGTTCAAACTTGCAGGTAATATCCTCAAAATGCTTGTCCTTCGGCGAAAACGCATTAAAGCTGAGTGGTGAGGAGTTTTGTGTAATCGCCGACTAGACTACTAGCACTACTACTCACCAACTAGAAATCGAGCTTGGTTTTCATAACTCAAATTTCACTCAACCACTCTTAGATTATTCATCTAACTAAAAATCTAATTGATTTCTTCACTCCTAAAAATCAAAGTAATTTCTCTTGAAATAAACGATGATTCATCTGCCTTATTACTTATAAGATATCTTGTACCGTGGAACATAACAGCGCTAGAACAAAACCTCAATACCAAAGTTAATGTTAAGTTTTTCTGTGATTTTTTTGTGGAAACACGCAACTGCGGTAAATATATTCAGCGGTAGAGAAATTGTTAAAGACAAAGTTACCGAAAAGGCGTCCAACTTTTGCTGGAGTACAAAAACACGGAGATAAATGTGCCGTGTGGGTGTGAGGATACACTTATGAAGATGTGGATCTGGTAATCTGGATCCATCCAGAAGCATATATCAAAGAGAATTAACAGAGGATGAAGAGGGGAATATATAAGTATTGAGCAAATGAGCGGGTGAATTATCATCCATGATGCTTGTTTTAGATGTAGAACTGGATGAAGATGTTTGCTAGGTTTTAGGTCGAAGAACTGAGACTTTCCGTGAAGATATTCAGCTCTATGGTGCAGAAACTATAATCTCGGTATGGCTAATATTAACTGTATTTGCGCTTCTGTCTGTGGGCTTCCTGCTAGAAAGCGTAAGGTGAATAATCCAGGGCACATTCCATTA